CAGCAATACTAGCAATACCGCAGCCCAGATCTGACACTAACATGACCCCTAATTGTATCAGGATACTAATTAATCATGTATGTACTACTGTACCAATTTATCCTATGTCTGTTAGCTCCCTAAGAGATGCACTTTTCTCATGTAATGCACACTTTAAGTGTATTGATACACACCTTAACTTTCAGCATAAAAGCAGACACTGAAGAGTCTGTTTATAATAGGTTTGCAGTATCTTTTACAGCCTTCCAGATAAGATGTCTGACAAAAAGAGTAATGCTTTCAGACAGCAGGTCCTCGGTGGGTGTTTCGTTTGAAACTGTCTATCAAGAAATTGCTCCCAGCATGGCACTCCTGTCCATTAAAAAATTTGCAACTTTAGTGGGTACTCACAGCTCACTGCAATTCCTATGATTGCTTTATTTATTTAGTCCAGTGTCTATGAAGCTCAGATTATCATTTAATTCTAAACAAACTCCAAACTGTGAACATTTGTAAGAGAGCAACCCATTAAATTCAACATTTATTCAACAGTTCTAATTGGCTTGCAGTATTATGATGATTCCCATTTTAATAAATACCGCTTTAGTTCTATATATCTTGTTTTCCACAATATATTATAACACATGAAGCATTTAGTTTCCATCCACGCAACTTAGAAAGGAATTTAAAAATATGAATCTAAGCACATGCATTGGCAATTGAATAAAACCCAGTCACTGTAATCATGGGCTTTTAATCAGATTTGAATACATCTTTACAATCACTTAGAATCAGAAAAATGGGCAGGTAGACACATGCACACTTTGTAGTATGTCTTTAAAAACTGATGTATGTAATTTGCAGCATAAGCTAATGATTATAACACATGGAAAACAGTCAAATCAAAGATGCTGGACAGAAAAAATGAAGATACTAATTTTCCAAGTACACTGCCAATTTATCCATGCTGCTAAAAGTCTATTCAAATGAAAGATGATTTAAATTTAAATGATAGATCATATTTATATATACACTGATGGAAAACACACAGCCTGAACTCAGAATTTGGACCTGAGATTGGAGTACAGAACTGCAACTGTGCATAGACTGAGAAGGTGCCAATTAAAACATACACATTCTACACACTAAAGACTGTTATTTCCAGACAGTGGCCCAGAGCAATATGAAAAATGTACAAGAGCTTATTCAGGAATTTCTTTTAAGTTGGGATTTAAGATCTGAATGCATTTTCTGAATGCACAGTGTTATCAAATGTGGTCCATTTGTAAGCTCTTTCTGCTTTTAATAAAGCAGAAAATAAATCAAGAAATGTCTTAAGTAAGTGCAAAGAATTTACCACTTTTCCCTGCCTCAAGTAACTTTCTTCTGCAGAACAAAATACAACAGGGGTATATATCTTTATTTTTTATTTCCTCAAACTTCCAATAATCATCTATGACCTCTCAATTTCTGTTGCAAAATAAAAAGCACAGCAAAACACAATACCTAATCAAATAGAAGATAAGCTGAGTGATGAAGCAAAAGAATATAGTGGATAACAGGCAAAAGACAATTTTTAAATTCCATTTGTTCTGACCATATGCCATAAAGATATAAAGAATGTACTAGATAAAGGCTGTTTTCCTTGGAAATATTTATCATGGGAGATGTTTATCAAATGAAGTAAGTTATTTCTTGACTGAAGAGCAAGAAACATAATTGTTTTCTAATCTTAAGTCATGAGCAATGTCTTTAAGGAGTCCCTGAAGAGGTTACCGTTCAAAGGTTGCAATGAATATTATCAACAGAAGACATTCCACCATGTCATCTAGTCAAGATCTCTACTTCTCCATAACATGGTTTACTTACCCCCTTATCTTTCTATAAACTCAGAAAGGTGAAGCCTAAATAATATTTCCAGTACCCTTCTCTTTCTACTTTTAGAATCATAACATGCTTGAACTTATTTCTGTTATTTTTATAGTTCATGACAGTCATGGCTTTCAGACAGTGACTGTTACAGATAGTAAACTGTATTACAATGCAGTTCTAGCGACACTATTTTTCTAGTTCATATGCAAACTCAGCAGCAAGAAATACAGAAGACAAGGGACAAAAGAGCAGGAAGGGCATAGAGAAAGAAAATCCTTTCCCTTCCTCTTCACCTAAAGTGAGATTTGCAGACTAATCCTTCTCAATTTCAATCTGCAGCCTATACTTTGAGCCAAGATTTGACAGAGGAAGATTGACTGGTGCTATTTGGTTTCCTGGCTGCAGGAAGTTATACACAGGCCACAAGAAACAACCAGTCACAGTTTCCTCTACAAACAAAATTTAGCAGAGAAAAAATAAATAAATGAACAAGGATTAAAAACCAGAATGGTTCCAAGTAATTATAAATTTTAAAAAAGGTTTAAATAGAAAAATAAAATAAAAGCAGCAGATTCTTTAAAAGATAGACTAGGAAAATTAAAAACAATAAAGGGCTGAATTCATTAAGCACTTGATGCCAGAAGATCCAGAGGGCATACTCAATGAGGATCTCAACAAAAAGAGTGATTTCTAGGTAGTGAAGACATTAAAATAGTAGCAAATAACTGGCAGGAAAGTTTTCAGCACGAGCTGTACAAATCTTCTGGAGACCTAGAGATACACTGAACCTGTAAACCCACATCATCATCTCATCAATGCAATTGCTATGTGCACTAGCTAGTTTACAGCTAGCATGGCCACATCAATCAGCAATACAGTCAGCTCTTCAGTCACACAGACTGCCATCTGCTCTCCGTGTATCACAAGAAACAGCATATTTCCACTGACACACTGTGTGGGTGCAATCCACACAACATAGGGCTGCCGTGGCCCCCAGCTATCTTGGCTGCATAGTCCTTGGCTGTTTTATCAGCACTGGCACTCAAGCAATCACATCAGTTCAAGGAGCTGCTGTAGACAACAGCAGAAGCAACTGGTTTTCCATGGGATCAGCTGCCTGAGCTGACTCACTGCTCCATCACCACATCAACAAGGCTCAAGGGAGGCACCAAAATGATGTGGCTACAGTTAGGAGGGTGAGACCATGGCAGATCTACATGAAACTCAATGTGCAGCAACTAGCCTCAAATCAGATTGTGCTTATGCTCATATTGGTCATCCAGACCATAACCGTAAATATCCATAAGCCAGCACTGCCATCACGGGTAGGAATCTTCTTAGTTTTCTCCCAATGCTGATCCCATCTTTGTGCTGCCACAAATATCAGTATGATCAGAGACATGATCCTCACAGAAATAAAAGATGGGTACTGCTAATGTGGGTAAGGTCCCTATCCTGTTTCACTGAGCAACTGCACAAAAGCACAAAGCAGCAGATAACCAAAGACTGGGGCAGACATTCTTCTTTCGGCAGTAATGCTGATCCAAGAAACTTTAAAATTCATGTTAAGCTACATCCTATTTATGATACATACTTACAAATCCAGAAGGAATTATCATAATAACCTACCTAGATAGTAGAGAATTACTCTGTCGTCAGACTAGAACATATTCCAAAAAGTTCACAGGTCTTGATGAAGAAGTCACATCTCAAAAACTTGTTCTACTGATTGTCTAGCTTTTCACTTAAAAGGAAAAGTGCTGGCTATTTGCCACTTTCAAGCACTGGATCTTGCAATACATGTGCTGGACTGTCCTTCAAGTCTAATTTGAGCAAGTCATCCTCTAATCTTCCCTTTATCCTCTCAGTCCTTTCACTGTAGTGCTTATTCTCCAATTTTATTACCAGTTTTCCCTAAACGTCTCCAATTTAACAAAATCATTCCTCAATTGTGGAAGGAAAAATTGAAAACATTGCAACAGTGCTTATTCCAGAGCCCATGAATTAAGGTTAAATGTCCTCTTTATGGAGAGATTTTACATTTACCATTAGATTATGGTAAAATGTCCACCAAATAGCCATCAAGATGCTCAGCTATTTTTCAGATTAAGTGCTTCAAGGGAAGTCTGTATTAAAAGAAGTATCTTAATGTGGCTTTGCTTGTTCCTTTCTTGACATAAGAGCTTTACATTTGATTTACTGACACAATAGCGGCTCGCTCTCTATCTTAATAGAATGAGACAGACTAAAGGAAATGGCCTATTGCTCATTTGCTTCGAGGTCTTCCAGTAACCATTCATCCTGCAGTCCTACCAGTATAAGAATATAGGACTAGTCCATCAAGACCAGCAGTGACACACCTAGAATTAAATGTTTCAAAGCATGGTGCAGCTGTCAGGAGTGAAGCAATATTATCTGTGACTCCTACTTGTCTCCAAAATTTAGAGACAGCCTTGAGCCCTCAGATGCAACATTTGCATCTCTATATATTTACATCTCAATTCTCACTTTCAGAATTTAATCCAGGGTCATTCCATTCCTTTCAGTCAGTCTGTGTGCAATAAATTCCCCAGTTTAGTCACATCTTGTGTATGAAAGCATTTACTGTCATGTTTTTTTCCATTTCCTACCTTCACATTTACACTGACTTGCTCTTGTACTAAGAGACAGGCAGGTCCTGCTTCTCTGAAATTCCTGTTTTCACATGGGAGTTCTTCAGCACAGCTCTGCTAATACTAACAGCCTCTGCTTCCACTTATGTGACTTTTGACAAGACATGTAGTGTCGCTTCCCCAAGGAACAATGTCTTTTGTGCAGACTGCTGAGATTATATAAGATTTAAAAATTGGTCTGAAGATGCAAAGGAGTATATTTATACTATTGAAAATCACTGACCTCTCAGGTATTTAAAACATGTCATCTTTCACTATTTTTAGACTTTTTTGACTAAAATCATTGTGAGTTATGTTCTCATAAGTAGACATGGCATTAATTTCCACGATGATGTAACTTTTGATGTACTGAGTTCTATACAGCTCTAAACAGTTGAAGCAATTAATAGAAAAGCTTACAAATTTTAAATGAGGTGAAAACTAAAAGAAGTCAGAAAGCCATAATCAGGAAGTCAGTAGGTGCATCATGTAACTTACCAAACAGGCGCTGATGGAAGAGAAATTTCCCAGCTATCAGTCCTGTGAGAATGGCAAGCAGCCACAGAAGTACCTTCAAAAATCTCCAGCCTCCTCCTTCAGGGTATTTATTTGTTACAAAGGAGAAACAATTACCAACAACAATAACATTGGCTTCTGTCTGACTGTGAGATACTGGGTCCTCAGCAAATATTAAGAAGTTAAAGAAGATCACTAAGTAAGCCACAACTAAGCGAGACCACGGGTGCTGGAAGTAGTAGCGGAAGTCTTTATCCATCCTCAGATACTGCAGAACTGTTCTTTGCCTGTATGTAAAGACAAAAATGTACAATATTATATATAGCTAGCATTCTCAGAGCTTAGGAGATACCTGAGCGTTACAAAAATCAAACCACTGTAAACCTGTCATCAGTAATTTTTAATACTTCAGACTTGACTAGCAATGAAAGTTTCAATCAAAAGATACTATTAGATTCAAACAGAGAAAAACTGAAATTTCTGCCCATTCCAATGTAAACTCAACAAACATATATACATTATAGCACAGGATTTTTAGTCTCAAACATTTCTATACTATCTCTTTAAAATGACAGCTCCGTAATGGGGCATGAAAATAAAGCATGTAAGAACACAACAGGGTAGGTGAAACTCAAGAGTGCCTTTCCAGCCACATCCCCAAAAATACAACACATATTTCAAAATGTTCTTGCTAAGCCTAAACTGAATCCTTCTGCTTATAGGAGAAGGATGGGACAAGCCCGTAAATCCAATGAGGCCTTCTACTACCTCATCTCCTGAAAGCTTACAAGCATTTACCCCAGGAACATCATAAACTCGTGTTTAAATGAAGGAATAACATGACGGGAAAGTTGCTAGAATTAATCCTTGCAAGTCAGGCAAGTCTGTGGAAATCTTTTCATTGACTTCAGGGAGTACACCTATAATTAAGCAAGTTTTCATAATCAGAAAATAAGAGAGCCCTGAGCACAAACTGTTTTGTACAAATACAAAAACTGTATTAAGAAACTTGCCTACTTATGAAGTACTGCTAAGGAAAAACGCGAGTAAACATTTCAGTTGCTTGCCATTTGATTTTTTTTTTCTTTTATTCACAACAAATTAGTTGTTTCATTCTGTTGAACCACTTCGTATGCACAAAGATAACAAGGCCTTTCTGTTGTGGAACACTGCAATTATTCAAGGGACACAGAGAGAAGGAACTAAAAAAAAAAAAAAGTATCTAATCATATTGCTGGTTTATTACAGCATGATCCTTGAAGGATACGGTGTACTCAGCTGAACAGTACAGGTTTTCTCAAATGCCATATGCCCTGCAGGAAAAATACCCCATACATAAATCACAGCAAAAGACCCCAAAATCCCAATCAAATACATCTGACTAAGTATCACTTTGCAAAATTACAAACGGCTTGAATTACAATGGTCTCCCTTTAGGTAGTCCCTTCAAAATTATTCAACTCTGTAATCCCATTTATATTTGTAAAATTACAAGGAATCCTGTACCTATTAAATCAAAAGGATTAAAGAACCTCTCAGCAGATTCAGACAATGCATTCAGTGAATAATAAAAATTAATAATGTCCCATTATGCATAAAGTACATATAAAAAAGAAAAAAAAAAAACAAAACCAAAAAAACACGTCAGGCAGTTAAAAAGTAGGCACAAGGAACCGTCAGACCTTTGAAAACTTTATGAATAACGAGATTTAAAGCAAGGGTCATTGGCCCAGCAGCCTAAGAAAACACCAGTTTGGGAGATTAAACTGCCTTTAGAGCCATAAGGATGCCCAAAGCTATTTTCTGTTCTCCGTTCTTCCTGTTAACGGGAAGAAAAGTTTTGGTATTTCCTTAGGTGTATGAACCATCTTAAAGCCCGAATGGGGCTGGAGATAAACAACTCTGTGTCCTGACATTTTTGGCAGCTGCCGGACACTCGAGAGTTAGTTCTTAGACACCCAAGTGAAGCGTTTCAGCGCAGAAGCAGCCAGTATTTGCAAGAGCAGCAGCGCACAATCGCTAATAAAAAGCCGGCTCTTGACTCCCACGACGCCAAAAAGGCGGGTGCCGCCAAAGCCGCGCACCGCACGCCCACCGCAACCTGTTAAATCGACCCCTCTCGCCCTGCCCAGACCTGGCGACCCGCGGCCGCCTCACCCCGGCGCAGCTGCGGGGGCTCCGGCCC